GATCCTTATTTTTGCAGTTTAAAATTTGAATTTCTATTAACCTTGATTAAGTGGAATTCAACAAATTTCTGATTTTTTCCATAAAAATCGCAATTATAACTACTAAAAACATCCAAACCTACAATTTAAATTTAAATCTAAAAAAAGAAAATAAATGGAATTCAAACTTTGGCAAGTTTGTTGACGTGTCGCTTTCTCCTTCATTTTCAGCTTTGTGTTCACACTACAAAATTTTAAAAACCTTTCCTTCTTTGTTAAATCAGTGAATAAAGTAAATATAAAACAAAATCAATTTTTCAAGATTAATTCGATGGACAAGATTTTTTGATTTAAATCAATGGTCAAGATTTGTTGTAAATGTTGGTGGCAGACAGCTCATTAATGTATATCTGACTGCTCTTTTAATTTCCAAATTTGAATTTGAATTTTAACTTGAAATTTTAAATTTGATTTTTGAATTCTGAATGGTGACAGGCAACTCATTTAAATCTATGGCATCGAAATCTGGATTTTTATTAACCTGATTCAGTGGAATTAAAAAAATTCTTTTGTTTTCCAAAAAAAATAACAAATTTCGTAGTAATCAACAAAATCCCAACCAACAAATTTCGTACTTATTTTTAAAATTTAAAATTTGGATTTTTTTTAACATTAATTCACTTTAATTCAAAAATTTACAATTTTTGAAAAATTAAAAATATTTTCTAATTACTCGAAATAACACAACCTGCGGTTTAAATGAATAAAAATAATAAATTTGATTAAAATATTTGTTCCTTATTTTTGCAGTTTAAAATTTGAATTTTTATTAACCTTGATTAAGTGGAATTCAACAAATTTCTGTTTTTTTTCCATAAAAATGCAATTTTAAATACTAAAAACATCAATCCCTACAATTTAAATTAAAATCTAAAAAAAAATAACTAGAATTCAAACTTTCGGTTCTGATTTTATAAAATTTAAAATTTTATTTTTTTCTAATACCCTTTTTGATAATCCATAAACCCTTTTCCTTCTCTACATTTTCAACAAATATTTCAGTGGTATTCAAAAATTTACTTTTGTTTTCCAAAAAAAAATATTTCGTACTAATCAACAAAATCCAAACCTACAAATTTCGTACTTATTTTCAAAATTTAAAGTTTGGATTTTTTTTAACCTTGATTCAGTGTAATTCAAAATTTTATAACTTTTGAAAATAATTTTTTTTCTAAATACTCGAAAGAATCCAATCTACGGTTTGAATGTATAAAAATAATATATTTTATTAGAACATTTGATCCTTATTTTTGCAGTTTAAAATTTGAATTTCTATTAACCTTGATTAAGTGGAATTCAACAAATTTCTGATTTTTTCCATAAAAATCGCAATTATAACTACTAAAAACATCCAAACCTACAATTTAAATTTAAATCTAAAAAAAGAAAAAAAATGGAATTCAAACTTTGGCAAGTTTGTTGATGTGTCGCTTTCTCATCCACTTTCAGCTTTGTGTTCACACTACAAAATTTTAAAAACCTTTCCTTCTTTGTTAAATCAGTGAATAAAGTAAATATAAAACAAAATCAATTTTTCAAGATTAATTCGATGGAAAAGATTTTTTGATTTAAATCAATGGTCAAGATTTGTTGTAAATGTTGGTGGCAGACAGCTCATTAATGTATATCTGACTCCTCTTTTAATTTCCAAATTTGAATTTGATTTTTAACTTGAAATTTTAAATTTGATTTTTGAATTCTGAATGGTGACAGGCAGCTCATTTAAATCTATGGCATCGAAATCTGGATTTTTATTAACCTGATTCAGTGGAATTCAAAAAAATTCTTTTGTTTTCCAAAAAAAATAACAAATTTCGTACTAATCAACAAAATCCTATTCAACAAATTTCGTACTTATTTTTAAAATTTAAATTTTGGATTTTTTATAACCTTAATTCACTTTAATTCAAAAATTTCAATTTTTGAAAAATTAAAAATATTTTCTAATTACTCGAAATAAACCAACCTGCGGTTTCAATGTATAAAAATAATAAATTTGATTAAATTATTTGTTCCTTATTTTTGCAGTTTAAAATTTGAATTTTTATTAACCTTGATTAAGTGGAATTCAACAAATTTCTGTTTTTTTTCCATAAAAATGCAATTTTAAATACTAAAAACATCAATCCCTACAATTTAAATTAAAATCTAAAAAAAAATAACTAGAATTCAAACTTTCGGTTCTGATTTTATAAATTTTAAAATTTTATATTTTACTAATACCCTTTTTGATAATCCATAAACCCTTTTCCTTCTCTACATTTTCAACAAATATTTTCAGTGGTATTCAAAAATTTACTTTTGTTTTCCAAAAAAAAATATTTCGTACTAATCAACAAAATCCAAACCTACAAATTTCGTACTTATTTTCAAAATTTAAAGTTTGGATTTTTTTTAACCTTGATTCAGTGTAATTCAAAATTTTATAACTTTTGAAAATAATTTTTTTTCTAAATACTCGAAAGAATCCAATCTACGGTTTGAATGTATAAAAATAATATATTTTATTAGAACATTTGATCCTTATTTTTGCAGTTTAAAATTTGAATTTCTATTAACCTTGATTAAGTGGAATTCAACAAATTTCTGATTTTTTCCATAAAAATCGCAATTATAACTACTAAAAACATCCAAACCTACAATTTAAATTTAAATCTAAAAAAAGAAAAAAAATGGAATTCAAACTTTGGCAAGTTTGTTGATGTGTCGCTTTCTCATCCACTTTCAGCTTTGTGTTCACACTACAAAATTTTAAAAACCTTTCCTTCTTTGTTAAATCAGTGAATAAAGTAAATATAAAACAAAATCAATTTTTCAAGATTAATTCGATGGAAAAGATTTTTTGATTTAAATCAATGGTCAAGATTTGTTGTAAATGTTGGTGGCAGACAGCTCATTAATGTATATCTGACTCCTCTTTTAATTTCCAAATTTCAATTTGATTTTTAACTTGAAATTTTAAATTTGATTTTTGAATTCTGAATGGTGACAGGCAGCTCATTTAAATCTATGGCATCGAAATCTGGATTTTTATTAACCTGATTCAGTGGAATTCAAAAAAATTCTTTTGTTTTCCAAAAAAAATAACAAATTTCGTACTAATCAACAAAATCCTATTCAACAAATTTCGTACTTATTTTTAAAATTTAAATTTTGGATTTTTTATAACCTTAATTCACTTTAATTCAAAAATTTCAATTTTTGAAAAATTAAAAATATTTTCTAATTACTCGAAATAACCCAACCTGCGGTTTCAATGTATAAAAATAATAAATTTGATTAAATTATTTGTTCCTTATTTTTGCAGTTTAAAATTTGAATTTTTATTAACCTTGATTAAGTGGAATTCAACAAATTTCTGTTTTTTTCCATAAAAATGCAATTTTAAATACTAAAAACATCAATCCCTACAATTTAAATTAAAATCTAAAAAAAAATAACTAGAATTCAAACTTTCGGTTCTGATTTTATAAAATTTAAAATTTTATTTTTTTCTAATACCCTTTTTGATAATCCATAAACCCTTTTCCTTCTCTACATTTTCAACAAATATTTTCAGTGGTATTCAAAAATTTACTTTTGTTTTCGAAAAAAAAATATTTCGTACTAATCAACAAAATCCAAACCTACAAATTTCGTACTTATTTTCAAAATTTAAAGTTTGGATTTTTTTTAACCTTGATTCAGTGTAATTCAAAATTTTATAACTTTTGAAAATAATTTTTTTTCTAAATACTCGAAAGAATCCAATCTACGGTTTGAATGTATAAAAATAATATATTTTATTAGAACATTTGATCCTTATTTTTGCAGTTTAAAATTTGAATTTCTATTAACCTTGATTAAGTGGAATTCAACAAATTTCTGATTTTTTCCATAAAAAATCGCAATTATAACTACTAAAAACATCCAAACCTACAATTTAAATTTAAATCTAAAAAAAGAAAAAAATGGAATTCAAACTTTGGCAAGTTTGCTGATGTGTCGCTTTCTCATCCACTTTCAGCTTTGTGTTCACACTACAAAATTTTAAAAACCTTTCCTTCTTTGTTAAATCAGTGAATAAAGTAAATATAAAACAAAATCAATTTTTCAAGATTAATTCGATGGACAAGATTTTTTGATTTAAATCAATGGTCAAGATTTGTTGTAAATGTTGGTGGCACACTGCTCATTAATGTATATCTGACTGCTCTTTTAATTTCCAAATTTGAATTTGAATTTTAACTTGAAATTTTAAATTTGATTTTTGAATTCTGAATGGTGACAGGAAACTCATTTAAATCTATGGCATCGAAACCTAGATTTTTATTAACATGATTCAGTGGAATTCAAAAAAATTCTTTTGTTTTTTAAAAGAATAACAAATTTCGTACTAAACAACAAAATCCCAACCTACAAATTTCGTACTTATTTTTAAAAAATAAAGTTTGGAGTTTTTTTAACCTTAATTTACTGTAATTCAAAAATTTACAAATTTTGAAAAAATAAAAATATTTTATAATTACTCGAAATAACCCAACCTACGGTTTAAATGTATAAAAATAATAAATTTGATTAAAATATTTGTTTCTTATTTTTGCAGTTTAAAATTTGATGTCAAGATTTGTTAAAAATATTGGTGGCAGACAACTCATTTAAACCTATCTCACTGCTCTTTGAATTTCGAAATTTTATTTTGAATTTTAACTTGAAATTTAAAATTTGATTTTTGAATTCTGAATGGTGACAGGCAGCTCATTTAATGTTGAGCTACTTTATGCATTGGTTTTGTTAAAGAATTTAAAAAAGACATATGTTTTGTATTCTATACGAACACTTTGGGACGTTTTGTTTCGTTCTCCTTACTTTTTCTTTTTCTTTTTTTGCTGCTGTTGCTGATGCTGTCAAATATCAGCTGATACACGCATTGCTTCCTCAACATCGGTTCTTGCTTCTCTATTTTTTCGTTTACAAAAAACATGTTTTCAAAATATGATTTTCTGAAGGATGTGAATCCTGCCAAGGAGGACTGGAGGATTAAGGTGAAGGTGGTTCGTGCTTGGAAAGTTCCTAACTTTCAACGTAGAGATTTTGATGACAATGTTGAAATGGTTTTATTGGATGAACAGGTAGTTGTCTACATTTTTTAAATCTTCCATTTTTGTTCTGATCATTTTAATTAACGTTATTGATGTGAGTTGGCGGCTGCGTTCTTTTGTAGGGTGGTAGGATCCACGCCACTGTCAAAGGTTCTTTGCCGGTGCGGAAGAAAATCCATGAAGGAGAGTGCTATTTTATAAAAAAAAATTGGAGTTGGATTCAATAATGATGTGTTCAGGCCAACCAAGCATCAATATCGTTTGTCTTTCAACTTGAGAACTGATGTTAAATCAATTGTTGATTCTGATATTTCTGCGAGTGAATTTGATTTTGTTGATTATGACATCATTGAGAAAGAAACGTCTGACTCTCTTTATTTAGTCGGTAATATATTTTTCCTTACTGTTATCCATTTTTTAATTATTGCAAATTTTTTTCACGAACTCTTTGCTGCACTCATTTTTTTTTAGACGTCATTGGTTTAGTCTCAGGAATTGGGGAAGTTTGTGATCGTGTGGTTTCTGGTAGGAAGACGAAAATGGTAGAGTTGGAGCTTGACAACCTCAGGTATTTAAATTTTTAAGTTAAATAAAATAATTTTGTCAAGCTCTGTCAGCTTATATTTTTCGTTTATTAATGTTGTGCTTGCTGCAACTCATGTGTAGGGGTCACAAGCTGGGGTGCACTTTGTGGGAGCATTATGTGGATGAGTTGCAATATTTTTTGGCAAACAGCGACACTCCTCATAACGTCCTTATAGTCCAACTGGGAAGGATAAAATGCTTTAGGTGGTGTTTGGTTGGGGTTTTCTGAAAACTTGCCCATGCAAATGGAAGTGGGTATCATTGAAAGCCTTGTTTGGTTGGTTGATTCTTAAAATTTACCCACCCATTTCACTTGCCTAGCAAAGCATGTTTGGTCATAGAAATCCATCCTTTTTCACTGTTAAGAAAGACATCTTCAACATGGTTTTTTGTTACTTAGCTGGGCAAATGAAAAAGTGAATCATGTCCCAGACCAAAATGCCCCTGTGAAGAGCAAAATTGATAACGCCTTTCCCCCTTGCAAGCTCCACAAGCTCCTCTAATTCAAAAACATCAGAACCATGCTTAGTCAAAGTCAGAAAGAACAATGTCACCACAAGGATTTTGCTAGACCTCCCCATATTGGTCAGGCTACTCGTTCATCTTCAAGTCCAAGTTCAGAGTTTCGGTATGATGAGAGCTCTGAACTGACAGCATATTGTGATAAATCAATTTAAGCCAGACACCAAGACCTAAATTATACAATGAGAGAGAGCCAACAATCTGGGGGCTAATATGCTTTTGTAAACACATTCAAAGTTAAGATACTTTTTCTTTCATAAACTTACATCAGATTTATTATACTGTAACATAGGTTTACAATGCTGAAAAGACTAACCTATTCCATACACAATTTTTTATTTTTCGAAATTTTTTAAAAATAGGGATATTTTTGTAATTATCACTTATTTCCCCATCTATATTTTACCTCAAACCAAACATAGACTTTATAAATCTTACCTAATTTATCCGGTAAATTTTTTTCCAACCAAACAACTTTTTTTACATTTTCCTACCAAACTCACTTTTCCACCATTTCCCTATCAATTACATTTCTCTAGTATTTCAAAAATTTCTTCTCAACCAAACGCCCCCTTAGGGGTATGTTTTTTTTACAAACGAAGCATTATTTTAATTTTGGCTTCTGTAATCGGTTTTTATCCACGTTATTTTAATTTTTTTTTGCTTCTGTATTCGGTTTTTATCTGATATTTTCAACTCAATAGGTAAGGTCGGGATAAAAAATACAAAATATACAACAAGGATTGTTATGGATTCGAAGGTGCCAGATATCGTTGTGTTCAAAAAATAGTGTGTTCGATTTTCTTGCACTCATGTGACAATTTATAATCAATATCTGTGATGGTTTTATGAATTTTTGCTTTATAGTCTTTCGGCTGATGGTGTGGAAAGCAGTTTGAGGATGACTCAGTTGTCTACTCAGTCCTCCTATTCTTTTGAAAATGATTTTCTCAGGGAGACTGAAAAGAAATCTATTAGCGATGTGAAGCTTTGTGGTGAGGTAAATATTGAATTTTTATTTTTTGCTTTTCTTGAATTATGTCAATTCTGTATGGATGATGTTTCCTGTTTACTTGCGATGGCTATATTTAAGGTTACAACGTGCATCACATACGGGACTATAAAAGCTATTGAGAGCAAGTACAACTGATGATACAAGTCTTGCAAAAAATGTCCATTTTCTGTTTGTGAGGATTTTGAAAAGTGGTACTGTAAGAACTGCCAAAAACATTCGGAAGATTATTATCCGAGGTAATATATTGTTCTTCGTCTCTTTAATTCGTATAGTTAATTGTTTTTTGCTGATATAAAATTTTCAAAAACTCTAGATTCAGTGTTCACGTCAGAGTTGTAGATAACACAGATTCCGCATCATTTCTTCTGTTTGATCGCGACTGTGTGTCTTTGTCATGAATGAGTGCTGATGAATTGCGCGAGCTGCATTTCAAGAGGGTTTGTATTATCATTGCTGTGTAATATTGAACGTGTATTTTTTGTCATTGTGTGCACTATGTCTGCGCTGTATTTGTTATTTTTTTTTTCGGTTTATTTTTTTTTCGTTTTCCTTTTTTTTAGGTTGCGGATTTGGATCAGTTTCCAGAAGAGTTAAATGTTCTGAATGAAAAGTCAATGTTGTTCAAGATAAATGTGAAGCAAAAGGATTTAAACTTATACAGTGAGCCCAAATATCAAGTTTCTAAAATTTGTATCAGTGAAGACATAATCTCAGCGTTCATTATGTCTCTTATAGATCCAAGTGTATCAAACCAAAAATTACACTTCATTTTTAGTCCAATTTATCAAAGTGTTCTAAATGACGATTTCATAATTTTCCCTTTTACGGGAATCAATCCCAAACATATTTAACAAAGGGACTCACCTACAAATCACCCTCCTACTACTCATACCATTTAATTTTCGAAATTGATCACTTACTCTCTTTGAAAATTTAGAGAAAAACTAGGTTTTTCACTCTAATGGTGCCACCAATGGTTCCTCCTCAACTATTGGGTCTCCTTGCTCAATCTTATACCATAAACATCAAGAAAACAACAAGATAACATATCAACATCTCCTTCAAATTCCTAATTTCAGATTACTATTCATTGGTGACCTAAGATTCATGAAAATTCTTGGAAATGTATGGAAAATGGTGGAAACTTACCATGAATTGCCTTAGAATGCAAGAGGAAGCAAGCTCAAGCTCCAATGCACTCCAAAACTCCCAAAACTCCAAATTTATTCAAATTTTCGAAATGGGGAGAATGAGATATCTCTCAATAGGATGACTCCCAACTAAAACTAAGCTAGGGGCTTTGCAGAGGATGAAATTTGACACACTTTAGGCTTTGAAATGAATTGATTTCATCAATCCTAGCTCAAGTTATCAAGGATTGAAGTTCTCTCAAGCTTTCCTCTCTCTTTTTTCTTTTCTTTTGCTCACTGTCGTTGGCTTGTTGCGTGAAGGAAGAATAAGAATACAAAGGTTTTAATATGTTTCACGGTTAAGGAAATTCAACTGAGTAAGGACTTATCTATCCTGCTCACTTAACTCTCATTCTAACTTTACACGCTAGTCCAAAATATTTTTATGGTAATATTTATAATTTTACTTTTCACTTTCGGGTAACTTTATTTACCCGCATTTTTACTCCTTAACTGTCATTTTAACTCATTTTTCACCAAAGGTGACTTTATTTCTTTTTCTTCTACTTTCCTTATAATTATTCTTCAATTTCATGATTAAAATCATTACTTCATAATTAAATCCAACACTACATGTGAGGGTTATTATATGGACCCTAGGCTCTCACGGTTTATATTTTTTTATGATGCCACATTAACATAGTTTTGATATTAACATAGTTGTGAAATCAAGAGTCATGACAAGCAACATTCAAAAAGAATCCAAGTGTATGTCAAAGCAATGCAAATTCAAGTGCTCAAGTGTCAAGATCATGAATCACGCATCAAAGCATGAAGTTAAGTCTAAGATTACATTAGAATATTCTGTTAGGACTTAGAACATACATGTAAAGGTGTATAGTAGAGAGTTTTGCATGAGCTCAAGTCATTATCATCATTACATAATCAATAAGTGCTTGGAAAACTTGGTTTAATAAGTCAAAATCGCACCCAAAGGTCTTTAACATGGTTTGAGCATATATCCACATTCACATAGTCTAATTATACATGTTCACACAATTAGAATCATCTTTGGACTAAAAGAAAAGAAATTTTGGAATTACATAGAGAAAGAAAACATGTTTTCATGGTTTGATCCCTCAAAATTGGATGGGACTACTTTCAAATATTTTGAACCCTCAAACACATTACCCAAGTCCAATTATATATGCCCATAATATTAAAAATGGTTTGAAAGTGAAAGGGATTGAATTTTGCATTTTTTATGTCATCTGCTTTGGTTTACTCAAGTAAGTCAAGATACTTATGCGAGTTAATAATTTATTTGAGTAAAATTGGGCAATTACTCGAGTAAATGTTAAATCCCTAACGAACAATTTACTCGGGTAAGCTTTGAAATTTAATCAGGTAAATACTTTTCATAAAAGTTTTCAATGACTATAAACAACTATGTTTTATATGAAATCTATAAATCCTCATTCATAACGGCTCTATTAGGTCTGGAACTTAAATATATTATTTATTGAGCCATTATTATTTCTCCTAACACATTCTTGCTCATTGATTACATCTTTACTTGATTATCACACACTTTAATTAGCTCATTATTATTCTTTAAGCTATACACCAATTGGCCTTCAATTTGTATAATTTGTATTTTAAAAGTACTTATTCATTCTTAAACACTTTCATATTGTATACTTGAGTTGAGGCTAATGAGACCTAGTGGAAAATGTAGTCTATTGCGTAAGAAATTTGGGTGATTAACGTGCAAGGTGTCCAAGAACCAAAATCTTGGAGGTTGTTGTGGTGATTGAAGGCTAGACGTAGGTCATGGTAGTTTTGATCGAACTAGGATAATCAGAGTTTTCACTTTCTCTAACCCTTATCTCATTTACATAAATATTCATAGCATATTTGAGCATATTTAGCTTCTAATAATTTGTTGTTCATTATTAGATTGTCTAAGTTGCTATCCAATATATTTTGCTTATCCTAAATCATAGAATCTCAAGAAATTATTTTTTAAAGAAAATGAGACATTTTACAAAACTATTTTTAAAATTCAATTCACCTCCTGTCTTGAGTATTGAAATCATTTGTCCAACACTCAATACATCTTCTTTAGGCCGTCAAAAATATAAAAATCCAAATGTTCTTAGTGATCCATTAGCCGTCATATAACTAGATGTTGGTGGGAGGGATGTTTGAAACATTTTAGGATTTAAGCTATTGTTACCCTATTCGTGAAGAGTTACTCAACATGGGAAAATCTTGACGCTGCACCACACCCTCTCAAGCATGTTTGAGTTGAGGATGTGCATGTCTTTGTTTTACCCTCGAAAGGATGTGAGAGGACATTGATTGTGCATTGATGGTGGTGAAAATGTGATAAGAAATTCTTTTTTAAGTCATCATAGTAGTCTACCAAATTGGGGATAAAGAAAAGATTTACCTTCTTTAGGATAAGGGAGAAGGCACAACATATAAAGGAGATGCCAAAAGCAAAAAAATTGAGGTTTTTTTGAAAATTCCTTCAGCCGTCATACAACTCGAGAATGGTGTGGGATGTCTGAAACTTTTTAAGATTTGGGCTGCTATTACCTTATTCGTAAGAGACGATTGAACTAATGGAAAGACCTTGACGTTGCACCACGACCCTTTCCTTAGCATGTTCGGTTCAGCTAAGTTCTTGTGCAATTAGAGAATTCTCGTTTCAAACTGCCTTTAGGGAGGTTGGTGTTCAACTTGATGAGATAGGAAATAATAAGAGATGAGGGAGAGTGGTTTATCCGAACATGTTGGATAACTGTGTTGGATCACCAACACCAAACTTTGGGAGGGTTACTAGTCTATAATAACATTTAATATTACCAAATAATAATAGTTTAGTTGGTGTATGGGCCCCATAATTTTTGTTGAGGATCTAAAAGATATTTTACTCTCTCTTTTTCAAAGATTTGCGTCTGCACTTGCTCACAGAGACACAAGTGTCGGTCGTCTCTACGATGGTTTATAAAAAATAAAAAAAACATTTAATATTGGTTTCAAAAAATTCTTATCAAATGTAATTAAAGAAATCAAAAGTATATTTTTGAAAAATAAAAAATCCAAAGTCTAGCTAACCGTGTTAATCTACACGCAGGAGACAAGTGCGGCGGGCCAGAGCAATTTTCAAAATTGTCAATTTCTGAAGTGAGCTTAAAATTTTGAGCACAAGTGTTTCATGTCAATATTTCCATTATCCCATGTGGTAGTTGTTGGAAATAACCAATGGGATGAAAAATCTAAAATAGAAAGACAGGACAAAGTTGACTTCAAGTTTTGAGGGCATGTTACGCATTGGTTGCTTTTATTTTATTTTTTTGCCTTGGTGGGTACTTCTTGTGTTAAAGATACACGTTCTTGAGTTTTGACCCACAAAAGGTCATAGGTAAGTTGTTGACTGGTTATATTGTTATATATCCATTTCTGGCTTTTTGTAACTCTTTTACTTTTACCATAAAAGCATGTCTTTTCACTCCATCGCCGTCCAACGAAGTACCACTTTCTTTCTTCTACACGAAAATTTCTTTAGACTTAGAAAAGTGTGAGAAGTTGCAATTTTTTCATTCCACTCTTTTATAGTTAATAGATAATGTCACATAAATTAATTTTAGGGGATTGTTTTTTTTATATTGCATAAAAAAAAATCTTCCACCAAACACACAAGAAAAAAAGAGTAGAAAAAATTTAAAATGAATCTCATATAAAATTTGTGTTTGCTGAAAAATTGATTTTTTTATACAACGTAAGAAAAACAATCCACTTAATTTTGATAGTAAAGGAGTATGAACTGTAAGAACAGTAAAGATTTACTCCTTCTATACTTGATATTACCCATAAAAAAATAAACTACTGCATATATCATTGTTTACCCCGGAAAAAAAAGTGTAGAGAGAAACACTTCATCTTCCTAATAAATATCGTTACATTCTTTTTTTAAGGCTATGTTTGGTTTAAATTTTATAATAATTAATTTTGAAATAATAGATGTTGAAAGAATTATTTTAAAAAAATTAATTTAAGTTTAGAATGATATTCTAAAAAATTTAGAAGAGATTTTTTATTTAAATGATAAAGAAAAAAATCATTTTTAAAATATAAATATATGTATATATTTAAAAAAATTATAAATCTCATGCATAAAATTAATTTTACTCAGTAGAAAAGTTTAAAATTTTTACCCTCTTCAAAGTTCAAATTCAAATTTACTGACCGTAACGTAGATTTTGAGAACCCAAAATTATAACCAAACAGTACAAGTTACGGTGTAATATATATATATATAGAGGTAGGATACTTTGACACCGGTTTCAAATTTTAATTTTGACACCTTATCTGAGAGCCGTTAGATAAAAAAAATCAATGGTGTCACATGCTTGCAAATCAGAGTCGTTGATCTTTTTTTATCTAACGGCTCTCAGATGAGGTGTCAAAATTGAAATTTGACACCGGTGTCAAAGGATCCTACCTCATATATATATATATATATATATATATATATATATATATATATATATATATATATATTTTAAATTTCTTACAACGTAATTCTAGCGGTAACCTATATTGCATTGATACTTACCTAGGACATAATACGACACACTAATTTTAAAAGTATTAGATTTCAATATATTAGGAGATATTTTGATATTAAATAATATTTTTAATTTATGTAGTGTATATTATATTTAATATTCAATAATTTAATAAAAAAATAAAACTAGACGTATAATATTCATCAATTTTATAAAAAAACATAAGATGTAAATATTTACTATTATATTTTTAAATTGAAAATCTCGTATACACTCTAGTAAAATTTATTCAGTATCCACTTTTAATTTTTATTATATCAATTCAGTAAAACATTGATCAATTTTTTCATGATATGTAATGAAATTTCAATATTAGAACCAGCAAATGTTTTAAAGTTCATCTTCCTTAAAACTTCCTTTCGGAATGGACCCTCTCAAACATGACCTGAGAAAATTTTAATGGTTTATAGATAAATCAATAGTAATGAAATATGAGAGAGAAAATTGATAAGATAAAGAGTAAAAAAAATGCTTTAAGTGAGACCCGCTTTTTTTTCTTTCTCTTCTCATTAGTATATCCCACCTATTTTTTATGTATTGCAAGAAATAAAATTATCTTATATAATATTAGAAATATTTTTCCAAAATAAAATAAAATTAACCATTAGATTTATCCATAAATCATTGATATTGTTTATATATATATATATATATATATATATATATATATATATATATATATATGGTCCATCAGATGTCTTGTTGCAAGATATTATGCACCTGTCTGTAACTATGTACTAAGGGTAATACATAATTATAATATCAAAATTATTTTTTTTTTCTTCTCCACGTCAATAATTTTAATATTTTAACTATGTATTATGTTTAGTACATAATTAAAAAAAAGTTGCAAGACAAAAAATTCATTCCTACAACATAATACTTATATTTTCCGCGTATATATGGAAAAACAAGTATCATGGTATATGATAATTCTTATATGAGAAAAATATTTATCCTTTTAAAGAATATAAGTTTTTGTCATTTTAGATCCTAACCATTGATTTCCGTCAACCAACAGTTATAATTTATTGCGAATTACTAATTAATTAAGTTTAACATAATAAATTATAACCGTTGATTGACGAAAATCAACAGTTATAATCTAAAATGACATAAAATTATATCATTTAAAATGACAAATATTTTTCCCTTCTTATTTAATGCTATAGAGACAATCATTGTGGAATCACCATTTTTAAAATAAAAAGAAGAAAAAATATAGCACAAGTATATGTTGTGTAGGAAACTTAACTTTTGTCATGCAATATGACAAATGGAAAAGCAATACATGTATATATTTAAGAAATCGCTTTTTCTATAATAATGTAGATAATTTATCTACATTGAGTCCAAAACGATGTCGTTTTAAGACGGAAGTCAAAGTATTTTTGTAATTATAATTTATTTCAGGATTATAATAGTCTTTTTTATTATAATTTTTTAATCCAAAATGACGTCATTTTGGGAACGAATATAAATAATTTATCTACATTCATGGTATAAACATTAAAGCCTATATATAATTACGGAACTTAAAAAACAAAGGAAGACCTAGCTACGTGTCATACGGGGGGAAAACAAAGCCTTAAAATTATTCCTAACTAAAGGCATGCAGTCCTAGTGTGAGGATGGTCACAGATGTGAACGTTCCAATCCTGAATTTCTATATGAGAAGCTAGCTAGTCTGCCACTGAATTGTCTTCTCTATGTGTGTGAAACAATATGACTAACCATGACCGTTTGAGAATTGAACTAATCCTATTAATAAGAGTAGCTAAAGGTCGGTGATCATCGCATCCTGATTGAATGAGCTTCAGAGCCCATTTGTTCCGCCTTTCACAAAAAGTAGTTTTTATTTCTTTTTTATCTTAAAAATATTTTTTATAAAAGTTAAAGTTATTTATATTTTTATAAAAATATTTAGTTTTTGAAAAATAAATATTTAGCTTTTGATTTATGCTTTTTTTAGAAATTAAAATTTTTAGCTTATAAAAAAATAAATTTTTGACTTTTTTTTATAACTTCTGTTTTTTTTTAAAATCAGACATCCAAACGAACTTAGAGTGAAAAGTGTTTTTTTTCCTTAAAAAAAAGTAATTTTTAGAGAAAAAAAAGTCTATCCAAACGGACCTTTAGTGCCACCATTGAATCCCCTTGAAGACAGAGTCATTTGAAGCCTCTATCCCAAGCTATTCAATAACTCATATGGTCATGTTAAATGACATTTATTCCCCTAATCTTCGGTCTATCAAAGATGTTCATTCTCTCTTTCTTTTATTTCTTGGATTCACCCTAGTTAAGAACAAAAGAGAGAAAGAAATACTCGAGCGCAATTGTGTTTGGATAAGATTGCTCTCCCTCATTTAACTATTGCTAAGCATGAAATGGACTTGGGCTTTCTGTAGATGAAAATCTAGAGAGGACAATATATTCCTAGAAAATTTAGTATGGTGGAACCAAATACTCATGGTCCAAAACATTTCAATATCCTACTTAGCCCAATATACTAACAAAGAAATCCAACCCTTTTCAACGGTCTACTTACTAAGCTACTAGTTCTCTCATTACACTAGAGTTTTTATTTTTTTGGGTTTTTTCTGCAACTCAAACTTAATTTGATAGAGTTGTGTGAAAATAAATAAACAAGTACGTACTCCTTGATAAATTGAGAATTTTTATCACAATTGTATGAAGTTGAGTAACAGAGATGAATTACTTAAGTCAAATTTGCTTATTCGGGTAGAAACAATTCAGATATAGCAAATACTAAAATTAATTTATTTAATGCATATTTGGATCCTCTCTCTTCTTATATGCTAAAGCTATGACAAACAGGATTTTACAAAAGCTTTTATAATAATAAAAAATTGTTTTTTTTTATATAACGAAGAAAAAAGCCAAAAGCTTATAGGAGGGGCTTTTTTTAAGCTCTTATCAGCTTTTCTTGAAATGGGGTTTGGGCTTTTAAGTAATTTTTAAGATAAATTTTTTATTTAATCACGAAACAACTTCTAGATTTTTTTTAAGTTTTTTCTTTTAACTTTAGCTTAAAAGTAACTTTTTGCTTTAAAAAGAGATGATCCAAACATGATTTTATTAATGCACCGATCAACAGGCTCAGTCAAGATTGTCACACTTTGTATCTATGATAGAGATAGTGATATGAACTTATCATAATGGAGATCAATGATGCACGGACACGGACACAGGACACGGGACTCGACACGACACAACACCCCGACACGTTAATTCTAAAAAATGCTAAATTTTGACACGTTGGGACACGTTTTGATATTAAATAATATTTTTAATATATATAATATAGTTTACATTTAATACATATAACAACTTATAATAACTCATATACTAATCAAATATTCAAATTTCATAACATAATTATTAAAAAAAAATAGAACATCCGAAGAGTGTAAAGTGTAAAAAATAGAAAAATTATTTTACTTATGATTACACACAGTTCAATTAAAATATTTTTTTTTTTGTATTAAGTAATTGAATTACTTTTAATTATTAAAGTTTTAGCGGAAATTCATGCATGTTCCCACAACAAAATTGTATTTGAATAATAAGTTTAGTGATCTTTATTAGTTGATTAGGAAATGCTATAGATCTTCAACTAGGGATATAACCTTAAGTAATTCATCTGATTTTACAATTGTGATAAAAATTCCTTTGATTTCTACACAACTTCAAAAATTAGTTGATTACACACAGATCTCTCTCTCTCTCTCTCTCTCTCTCTCTCTCTCTCTCTCTCTCTCTCTCTCTTCTACTTCCCAAAACCCAGAGCTTCAATAAATCTGTGTTAACATTTTACACTCCAAACTAACATCAATATCACCACCACCTTTTCCTCTTCCATTTCCCTTTCATTTTCTCTCCATCTTCAACATGAAGAAGCGTTCTTTTCTTTGCTGATGAGATCTTCCACAATGCCAGATCCAACCCTCCTGCTTTCCTTCATAATAGCGACGTCCTTTCACCTCTTCCACCGACTCTGAAGAAGCTCTTCGTCGAGAAGCGAAATAGTTTTCCCTCAGAATTAAAGGATGGAAAATCGACGTCATCGACATTGGAGGTGGTAGAGCTGGTTGAGGCTTCCAATAACGAGAGGTGTAAGAAGAGCAACTCCACAGAATTCTCAAAGCAACTGAGATTCCAACGAGAGCTGAACTCGCGAAGCAACAGCAGTGACAGCAAGGACGTTTTCATTTTCTTGAATCCTCCGGCACCGGAGCCAGTACTGAGGTCCAACGACGAGGCTAATAATAAAAAGAAGGGAAGACCAGCAACCGACGACGAAGAGAAGAACAGCTTCAATAAACCAGCTTTCGAACTCGTCCTTATGTAGTTTTTAATTTTTATTAGTAATTTTATTTCTTTTTTATAAAAAAAATATCAAAATGTGTCCCAAAACGTGTCCACATCGTTGACCGCGTGTCGGATTCGGTCAAATTCGCGTGTCCCACTAGTCAACGTGTCCCAAAAAGTTGACTGCGTGTCGGAACGCGTCGGTGTCCGACACGCAAATTTCTCCAAGAATCGCGTATCCGTGTTTCAGAGATGGAGATTATCTAAGACATCCTATTAACAGTTGTATTAATTTTCAACATAATTTTATCCGAGTTAAGCATGGTGCAGAGTTAAGCACAGTGCAAAACAGTGATCGACAACCTACTTAATATTTTCTATGCAATCTTATATTAGACGCAGATAAACACAATTTAAGATAGACAATCAAGGAGGTAAAAAATAACTTAAGGTGTAGATACCATTTTTGTGAACACCACCTCCAATATAACTCAACAGTGAAACACAAATAGGTATTGCATACCCAAAATATACTTGAGTCACACTAACCTACTTCAAATCCTAATTCAAACTTGTTCATAGCATTCTAATTCTAATGTTGTACCATATCTATAGTATGGGATTTCAAATTCCATCATGCATGCTTCATGGAAACTTTTAATTTGTTGTCGATCAGATTTTTGTAGCATTATGTAACAATAGTATCTCACATGCCCAAGTATTAGTAATTCTAGAATATTCTACACATAAGTTGTTAGGATGTTGTGTAACAACCCTTAGAGGGTATATGTAGGCATGAATTGGATAGTAAAAGCAAGCAAGAATTCTCAAAGAATTTCCCTCTCTTCTATTCTCTCTTCCTATCCTCTGAAATAATCTTTTCTCCTTCTATTATCTTTCTCTGTAATCTTCTATTCTCTTCCTATTATTCTTTTTTTTTTTTTACAGATCTAGCTAAATGATCTGTTACAATTGTGCTTTCATCGAGATACTCTTCCTCCATAGCTAGAAGTAGCATTCATCCTTTTCCACAACAAATCTTTGATCCCCAACCCCACCTTTCAACCTCACCTTCCATTACAGTAAGCTTGGATAATCTTGCGGTAGACCTTAGTGCTGCTTTTAACCTATTCATTACAAACTCACATGCTGACTTTGCAAGGTTTAGCGCCGAGATGCATGCTAACTTCGCAAAGGTCAGGGCATCAATGCATACCACCAATTTTTTTGGCCGCGTGCCAGTTTCGTACAGTGCTTTTGCTGGCTCTGTTACTTCAAACCCTGGAACCAATCCAGAAAATCAATAGGTCGATCAAGAGGTAGTAGATCTTCCAAAGCATCAAGTGGCTCTATATATCATCTCACATATTTGAAATACAGTATTAAAGGTTTAATTGAGGATTAGAGGATTTATTTAATGAAAATCCTGAAATTCGGGTGAAAATATACATGAAGGGTAAAATGGTAATTTGGCAAAATAAAGTAATCCTAAATTGTGAAATGATATAATTAGATATTATTAGGGGAAAATAATGTTAGATTTGGGTTTAGAACGAAATTTGGAGTGGATAGACATTTTTCAGGAAAATTGATGAATACGGATTTTTACCTTATAAAATAATGCAGTATAATTTTTCCGGGAAACTCAAATGAGATTATTGTTCTATGATTGGAATTAGGTCAAATATCTAAGTCATTAATTATTAGAAAATTCAAGAAGGATAATTAATGTAATTTGAAAATTAGATATTTTGTAACTTTAAACAAAAGTCAAATAAGGTGGCTAAGCTTTAATTACTCTAGAAATTAGCCTATTCAGGCTTGATTTCTTCATTCTTTTCAAGAGCTTGGCCAAACCCACCATAGCCAAGAAGCTTAGATTTACAACTTTTTATTTAGTCACCAAATCAAGAAACTTTCAACATGAAAAATGTTAGAAATCCTTTGGTGATCAAAATCTTATAAAGAAATCCTTGAGAAAGTGAGTGAGTGAAGAGATCATGAGCCATGAAGGTGGCGGTTTTGTGATGAAAGAATGGCCATTGTTGGTGGTGTGAGTTACTTCGAACCTTGTATATTACTCTGTTGAAGCCTAGGAACTCATTGGTGGTAAGATTTCTCACTTTCATCTACTCTTTTATATGGATCAAAATTTTGGGCATAAGTGTGATGTGTTGTTGGTGGGTATAGTTGGAGAGGTTTAATGGCTATGTTCCTTTGGAATTTAATGTTCGTATGGAAAAATAATCGGTAGAAATCCAATAAAAATGTAAGTGATTGTGTTAGGACACTTAGACAAATTTTCAAGGATGGAAAGATTTATGACTTGTAAAGGATGTTATTGAACCCGATAGTGCAGTGTTGACAGTTTTAAGGAATTAACTTACGACGAGCGTATCCGGAGTTATAAAAATTCAATTGAGGTGTGTGATACCTTGTTGGAAAGCTAGAAGAGTCTAGTTTCACATATTAAAAGATGAGAATTTATGGACATGTAGTCCATCTGCAGTTTTAGAAAAACTGAGGGAACCTCAAGCTTGTAAAATGTCAAATTGTGTAATTAAGCTTTGTTGGTGTTGGGAACCACCTAGCAACTTTGAATAGACTTTGTATGATGTTAAGCTAGAATATTTATGTTTCAGCAATAGTTTTGAGTTACGATCATATTTTGTAAAATGTCTAATATGGGTGTTTTAAAAGTGCAAGATTTACTCCAAACAATATTAAAATGAAATTTTTTTCCTATATTTCTAAATGAACTGTTGCGATTGTAACTGCGCTTAATATCATAATTGATGATAACATAACTGCATGCATACGAGGTGTTACACTCTGTTCAGTCGCTCTTACTTTGTTCCTGCCAGCTTCGCCAAGGATACTCCGCCTCAGATCCCAACCATTATGGCACGATACAGTCTTAATGCATTGATTCCATTTCATAAGGAATTCCAGATTTCCTTAAACACAACGTCAAACATAGCCCCAGCTATACCTACTCTTGTCGATATTATGGGACTTTCGCCATTCCCTCAGGCCCCCCACCACGGTATCCTTGTTGATCCACAAGATCAGCACATCATTCCTTCTTTGTTACACCCTGAGTGAGTTGCTAGTAGATTGATGGCTACAGGTTGTGCGTCTGTGAGGCAAGCCCAAGCGAGGTGAGATGTCAGCTCGGTGAGGAAATTAGGTTCGGGTTCTCATGAATTTTGGCTCGCTGCTGTTCTACCTCCACCAGCGAATCCACCCTGGGTTCCAAGAATCGATTCCTCATCACAATCAATGGGGTTCAGGAAAATGGTTTCTGGCAGATCCAAGCAAGTTTTCCCCGATCAGGCTTCTAGTGTGACCAGTGGTTAACATATTTGACATATCACAAAAAGTCTTCAATCTTGAGTCAGAATGATTAATAAATTTGACACTTTCACAAACATTTTTATTGATACCATTGATCTGCCTAAGACCATGTTGCACTAGCAAATTCAATATATGAGCACAACATCTCACACGAAATAGTTGTCCACCAAGGACTAAATTAGTGTTTCTTGCTAATGTGCTTTTCAAATTTCTTACACAAACATCATTATAGGCTGCATTGTCCACAGATACTGAAAATATCTTATTTTTAATTCCCCATAATTGCAGACATTTAAAAATTGCATTTGCGACATCAACTCCACGCCTTAGTGGTGGAACCTTAACAAAACTCAACACTCGCTTTTGCAATTTCCATTCTGAATTAATAAAATGGCCAGTGATGACCATATGTTCAGCTATTTGGTGACTAAACTTCCACATATCAGTGGTTATACTGATCTTTTTCACACCCATCAATAAAGCCTTTATACTTTTCTTTTCTGCCTCATATAATGCAATACAATCTTTTCTTGCAATAATACGCGAAACTTTCTCAAATTCAGCATTCACAAACTTAAAGGCCCACATCCAAACATCGTCCTCCACAATACTGAAAGGATACTCGTGAATCATAATTGCAATTGCAATAATTCCCCTTAGATGTAGGCTGGAATGATAAAGTGGTCTGCTTCTACACGGATTGGTCCAATTTCCTATTCAAGCAATTTTGTGAATGCCTCATTAGATGACTAGTGCTACCTTCAATTCCCCCAGTTGCAAATATTTGTTTACAGTAGTTACAAACTGCTTTACGCCCAACATTAGGAATGTCCATTTCATGGAAATCATTCCAAATTGTAGAAGTTTTTCGCCTCTTTTTCACCAATCTTGGATCTTCAGATTCTTCACCTTGTGGGACTGGTTCATTGCTTCCATCTTGATTATAAGCCATCTGTTTGAAAATGAAAATGCATTTGATGTTATATCAAAATTCTATATTCAAATCATGCAATGTTTATGTTTAAAAACTAGCATTGTTCTCACCAGATTCAACAACAAGAATGGCTAATTGAAGAGGGTTGATGATGGCACAAAATTGTTTGACTGCAAATGCCTCCCAAGTTAGAAACCGTAAATGTACCATGCAAATAGCGTCCACAAATATTGTTAGCTATATAATAATGTGAAAGAGAATATGGGTATGCTTCCGCCTTTAGCTCAGCCTATAACTATCAACTTAACAAATATAAAAAAAAATCTCTTTTGGGTCCCTAACAAAAAACACGGTTCTCACTTTAGTCCCTTACAAAAAAAAATAGTCGTCTGGTCCCTATGAAATTTAAAGTGGACTCATTTTAGTCCTTTTGATTGAGTAATGTGAGTGTTTTTTGAATTTGTGAGGGACCACTATTTCAATTAAATGTGTCTACTTTGAATTTCGTAGGAACCTCAGGACTAAATTTTTTTTTTGTAAGGGACTAAAGTGAGGACCTTGTTTTTTGTTAGGGACCCAAAAAGAGGCTTTACCCTATAAAAAATGACTAAACTACTAGAAGTAGTTAACAACAAATTGAACATAATAATTAAATAACATAAACAATAGTATAATATTAACAAACGACATAACTAATAAAATACAAGTAAATTACATAAAGAATTAGTGAATTCAAAAACTTTTTTTTT